TTATTTCTGTATGAGTTATGGTAAGTTTTCAGCCACATTTTTTCATTATTATTATTAACTTGATTTCATTTCGGAATTGTCAGTCCAATTTTGCAAGTATAGAAGGTTTGTGATGTGTAGATGCTTTATTGCCAAGACCACCTTAAATTGGATAATATGCATAGTTGCCAGGCTAAGTGCCACGTTTTACACCAACTGCAACTTCCAAACACTAAACAACACAAGAGAATGTTGCAATAGTAAAGATGGGATGAAATCAAAATATAAATAACTATTGCCAACCCAACTGGCATACGAATAGCGCTCTAGCTATAATTGTGCTATAATTATGCGAATGCATCATTCACTATAATAACTGTACTGCAAAACCTAGTCCAATTTCCTTTTGACAACAACACAACATTTAATCTTAATTTCAGCTTTTTCTTTGTTCCCTATCCTATTAGCTGGGGTGATATTCAAAGTTATCCACTGATTCTTTGGAATTAAACGATAAGGAACAATAGAGCTGGATACCATAAGCATAATTATGACAGTTCAATCCAAAGTTTTGAATTATTTGTCTATGCAGTTTCATTCACAGGCATATTGCGGTAGAATATGTCTCTCTACCACAGAACCGCAGCTCCCAGGAATCCTTTATTCAAAGCAAACTGACTCACATTGGCCTGAAGCTGTAGACTCAAGAGGCAGCAATTCATTCACTATTCTTTTCTCCTACCCTTTCTTCTAGTTCGGACTGGCTTCCAAAATCCTTCTGCATTTTCCTAATAATTACATACAAAATTACATAATAATTACATACAAAAAAACAATAAAGCATTCATATGGTTTTTGGATTGCATGCGATTGTGTCATTTTGACAGATTGCCCATGAAACTGAAAAAAACTATTTTTAGATTTTGCTAAAACAGGCAACTTTCTTTTTCCTGTGCGACTAACCTGCCCCTTTCCTTCCTGTTAAAGTTCTAAAGAAATGCTAGATAAGTTTGTACAATGGCACGGATTTTGAAATCAGAAAACATGAAATCAGACACTTTCGGATTTCTTACTACCATAAATTAACACAGTTTTCCTCCTATCACAATACTAATATAGAGAACCTGGCCTATAACCAGTGGTGGGATTCAAATATGTGAACCACCAGTTCTCTGTGTGGATGCCGCTTCCGGAAGTCCATTCTGGGCCTGGGCCACAAAAAATTAGCTACCGGTTCTGCCAAAGTGGTGCCAACCGGCTGAATCCCACTACTGCCTATAACACAGCAAAAGTCTATAGCTTAGAAATTAAATTTATTTATTTATTTGTAAAATTTATTGGCCACCCATCTTACCATAGGATAAATTTACAGCTGCATTGTAGTTTATGTTTTAAAAATAAAATTTAACAAATTTTGTTTGCACTTGTATATATCAAAACCTGATTCCTTTAGTCATTGTTGCATGATTACCCTTGATAGGTGGGAATTATGGGAGCTGTAATCCCATACTCATACAAGATCAAGTGGTGTTTCTGATTAAATTAGTTTTGTAGTTTTGAAACAATTAAAAAGTGATGTGTATTTATCAAAACTTAAAGTGGGGTAAATATAGAAGCAAAAAAATCCTTCTTTCAAACTGCCTTAAGCTTTTCATTTTCTAGGAGGTAAAAAACTGCTATGTCTATAGCCGAAGCAATCTATTCTTTTATCTTTTATAAAAGAAACACTATATTCTACATTCTAAATTTAGGATGACCCATAACATAAGCTTCTTTTTAAAATTCATTTGCATAACCTCAAGTGATTTGGGGAATGGTTCAGCTGGAATCTGAATCTTGATGTCCCTTCTTCCCATACATTTTATTGAGAAAAAACAACAACAGAAAATACATTTGTGTTTAAGATAGCCCGATTAGAGTAACAAAATAACAGAATAACAGAGTTGGAAGGGAGGGACCTTGGAGGTCTTCTAGTCCCATCCCCTGCTCAAGCAGAAAACCCTATACCAGACATGTCCAAAGTCCGGCCCGCGGGCCATTTGCGGCCCGCGTTCCGGTTTAATCCGGCCCTCGAACAGCCCTCCCTGCTCTATGTAAATGCGGCCCTCCCACGGCCCTCCCTATCAGAAAGTTTATTGGCGGGGTCTCCCTTGACCAATAGGCAGCGGCTGATCTCGTTTTGCGTCCCTCGCGAGACTCTGCTTGGGCCGCTCCCTGGGCAGCCAAGCCAGCCACATGTCTCCCCGTGCTGGGCGGCAGTCATGGCTGGTGCGGCGGCCAGCGGGAGCATCGCTCCCCGGGAAGCCGAACTGGCCACATGTCTCCCCAGCCCGGGCCGGATGGCAGTCAGGCATGAAGCTTGCCTGGCTGCCACAGGGCTCTCCGCCGCCCGGCCCCACCTCGGCCCCATCGGTGGCACCTTCCTCGGGCACTTTCAGGGAGCCGCCGCTGCTGCCCTCGTTGCTGCAGGAGGAGACCTTGGGATGCGAGGGCGGTGGGGCTGGCGGCGATNACTCCCCGTTGCCGGCGCGGCCGCCCATGGTGCACCCGGCCTTGGCGCCCTCCTCTTAAGATGGCGAAGTGGCTGAGGATGCGGCGGGGGCGGCAGCCGGGCCAGGGGCGGCAACGGGGACCCCGACGATGCTGCAGTGGCTGCCGCCAGAGCCGCTGCCTCCCGTCCTGCTCCCCCTCCCTGCCCGTTTGGCTGAGGATGCAATAGGGCCGCCGCCACTGGAGCCGCTGCCTCCCGTTCTGCTCCCCCTCCCTGCCCCTCCCTGCTTGTTCGGCTGAAGAAGCGATGGGGGAGCGGCCGGGAGCTTCTACCTTCCGTCCTGCTCTCCCCGCCCGTTCGGCGCCATCTGCCTTTCATTCTCTCTCTCTCTCTCTCTCTCTCTCTCTCAACCTGGAGGGAGAGGGAAAGAGAGAAAGAGGAAAGAAAGAGAAGAGAAAGAGAGGAGAGAGGGAAAGAGAAAAAGTGGAAAGAGAAAGAGGAAAGAGAAAGAGGGGAAAGAGAGAGAGAAAGTTAGAAGAAAGAGAGGAAGAGAAGAGAAAGAGGAAAAAAGAAAAAGAGAAAAGAGAGAAAAAGAGAAAAAGAGGAAAGAGAGAAAGAGAAGAGAAATAGAGGAAAGAGGAAAGAGAAAGAGAGGAAAGAGGGAAAGAGAAAGAGAGAAAGAGGAAAGAAAGAGAAAGGAAAGAGAGAAAGAGGAAAGAAAGAGAGGAAAGAGAAAGAGAAGAAAAGAGGAGAAAGAGGGGAAAGAGAGAAAGTTAGAGGAAAGAGAAAGAGGAGAGGAAAGAAAGGAAAGAGAGGAAAGGAAGAGAAAGAAAGAGAGAGGAAAGAAAGAGAAGAGAGGAAAGAGAGAGGGAAAGGGAAAGAGAAAGAGAGAGAGAAAGGGAAAGAGGAAAGAGAGGAAAGAAAGAAAAAGGGAGGAAAGAGAAAGGGAGAGGAAAGGGAGAGAAAAGAAAGAGAAAGAAAGCAAGAGGGAGAGGAAAGAGAAAAAGAAAAGAGAAAAGACTGAGAAAGAGAAAGGAAAGAGAAAGAGAGAAAGGAAAGAGAAAGAGAAGAGAGGAGAGAGGGAAAGAGAAAGAGAGAGAGAAAGAGAGAGAGGAAAAAGAGAAAGAGGAAAGAGGAAAGAAAGAAAAAGAGAGGAAAGAGAAAGGGAGAGGAAAGGGAGAGAAAAGAAAGAGAAAGAAAGCAAGAGGGAGAGGAAAGAGAAAAAGAAAAGAGAGAAAAGATTGAGAAAGAGAAAGGAAAGAGAAAGAGAGAAAGGAAAGAGAAAGAGAAGAGAGGAAAGAGAGAGGGAAAGAGAAAGAGAGAGAGAAAGAGAGAGGAAAAAGAGAAAGAGGAAAGAGGAAAGAAAGAAAAAGAGAGGAAAGAGAAAGGAAGAGGAAAGGGAGAGAAAAGAAAGAGAAAGAAAGCAAGAGGGAGAGGAAAGAGAAAAAGAAAAGAGAAAAGATTGAGAAAGAGAAAGGAAAGAGAAAGAGAGAAAGGAAAGAGAAAGAGAAGAGAGGAAAGGGAGAGGAAAGAAAGAAGAGAAAGAGAGGAAAGAGAGAGAAAGAGGAAAGAGAAAGAAAAGAGAGAGGAAAGAAAGAAGAAAGAGAAAAAGAGGAAAGAGGGAGAGAAAGGAGAGGAAAGAGAAAGGAAAGAGAAAGAAAGCGAGGGGGAGAGGAAAGAGAAAAAGAGGAAAGAAAAAAGATTGAGAAAAGAGAGAGAGGAAAGAAAGGAAAGAGAAGAGAAAGAGGAAAGAGAAATAAAGGAAAGAGAGAGGAAAGAGAGAAAGGAAAGAGAAAGGAAGGAAAGAGGAAAGAAGAAAAGAGGAAAGAAAGGAGAAAGAGAGGAAAGAGAAAGAGGAAAGAGAAAGAGAGAGAGGAAAGAGAAAGAGGGGGAGAGGAAAGAGAAAGAGAGAGGGGGAGAGGAAAGGGAAAGGAAAGAGAGAGAGAGAGAAAGAGGAAAGAGAGGGAGAGGAAAGAGGCATAAAATAATTCATTTGCATTTAATTGTAATGGTTCAAAGAATGTTCGGAAAAATGTTCGGCCCTCCAGCACGTTCACTTCATCCAATCTGGCCCTCTTTGAAAAAAGTTTGGACACCCCTGCCCTATACCATTTCAGACAAACGGTGTGTAATCTCTTCTTAAAAGCTTCTTCAGGAGATTAACTATCCACCCATGAGATCAATAGGCAACTGAACAGAGCCAGATCAGTTCTCATGGAGGACTTATTAAAAAACAGACCATAGAAACAGAACAGTAGAACAACAGAACCCCACTGCTTGTCTCTACAGTTCACATATTAATAGGCTGCAGCCCTTATTGGACATTGTACTTTCTCAGGTACTGGGTGGCATATCCATATTTGCATACAGACAACCACCCAACATAATGCAGATTCTCACAAGCAATAAGAAAACACGAGGACAATTATGCCATCATGGAACTAGACACCCCATTAACCCAAATGTCTTCTTTGTCCCCACATCTATGCCAGCACATCATTATAAATCCCAGGAAATACCCACATAAAATTCACATGGTCTTCTCCAATGTCATATGTGCCATCATCTGCCAGTAATATCTCTCTGGAGTCTAAGTAGGACAAATCAGCAAAAGAATTAGCGGACAGAAGTTTGACAAAAGAGGAAATAGACAGTATCAGAGCATTTNAGAGAGAGGGGGGAGAGGAAAGGGAAAGGAAAGAGAGAGAGAGAGAAAGAGGAAAGAGAGGGAGAGGAAAGAGGCATAAAATAATTCATTTGCATTTAATTGTAATGGTTCAAAGAATGTTCGGAAAAATGTTCGGCCCTCCAGCACGTTCACTTCATCCAATCTGGCCCTCTTTGAAAAAAGTTTGGACACCCCTGTCCTAAGGTATTATTTTCGACGCGAAGTAGAGACGGAAGAAAAACTTTAGGCCCAGAAAAAAAAAAATGGCGTCAGCCACGTGGGCCTCTACAATGGCGGTCGCGGTAATTTAGACTCGCCGGAATCTAACTAGGGAGCTTGAAAAACGGGGAAAAGTAAAGAAAGACGACTCCTCTATTAATTTCCCCCTCCCTGAGCCCAGAAACTTGCGTTTAGACGCGCAGCAGCCGCTGCGAACGAACGGAGGATGAAAGGGGGCGATAAACTCCGGCGGCGGCGACGAAGCCAAGGCAGCGATCCGAAGACCGAAGCAATCCCGCGCGGTCCCCGCGGAGTAGCCGGGTCGTCTAAAGTCCCCCCGGCTGTTCTCGGTTCGATGACCGAGCCTCGGTATCGAGGAGGATCGCCGTCCGGCAACCCCCCTAGACGGGGCCTGCAGTCTCCCACACGGAAGCTCCGAGGGGAAGCAGGCTCACCGATCCCTTCCCGCAGAAAGGAAAGGAACTGTAAATCGTTTAAGTGAGGTTTTGAAAAAATTCCAATCAGACCAAATGGAGAAAAAAAGAAAAAAAGGCTATGAGGCCTAGTCGGAGCCTTGCATACAAAAAAACACGTCTGCTAAGCTTGAGACTAAGACAAAAACTGGGGAGACACACCCAGAGAGAGGCGTGGCAAGAGGTTTTTTTTGTCTTAGTCTGCTAGGCAGGATTGCTGAATTAACCCATTCTGTGGACTCTACACCACCATCTGCTGGAGAATATGTGGGCCAGTCCCGGATCTGGTTCACCAGAACCAGCAACACAGCATGACTGCGGCTGGAGCGCTGGTTCAGCTGAGTTGACGCCACCGTTCGTTTTCTGCTCGCTGGCAGAAAATGGCTTTCAAAGTCTGCAAAGTTAGTGATCTCTTTCTGGGTCAAGTCTGGAACCAGGATGTTGTGGTTATGATCCTCTCTGATGGGCAGGTCTCGGAGGGTGGGCTGAAGAAGGTCTAAAACCTGAGGAGTGGAGGAAAAACCCTAGTTTGGATGGTGGATGTGAAATTCTAACCCTCACTCCTTGTTTATCTTTTCCCCAGATAAGCTAATACATTTCAGCAACAACATTTTTCCAAAGGTGAGTAATCTGGGCATTGATTTTTAAGTTGTTTAAAAAAACTGTTTCAAATCTCGTTTTTCAAATGACAGGATCCTGAATCAATTGTGCATTGGTTTCTTGTTTTTCTCTTAAAAAACTAATTTCAGTCAAATGAGCCTTTTTCCTGCCTATTCTGCTTCAGGTATAAGAGGCTTTTTTCTCCTTAACACGCCCTGCTGGATTGCTGTTGTTGCCATGAAAGCTGTCATCTTCCAGCACTAGCCATTAATGCTGGGCTGATGATAGCTGGCGCCCAAAAGAATCCTGGGAACTATAAATTCCCACCTTTTTCTCTTTAGTCTTTTCTTCACGTGTGTCAAGACGTAGGAAATCAGGAGCCAAGAGAGAATTCAAAAGCACTATGAGATTATTTCTTGCTACCTATTCACAGGAATCTGATCTATTAACGGTCAAGGCAATTGATGCCAGATAAGAATCAATGGACTTCAAGGGGGAGAGCTTAAGTCTCTTACGGATGATAGCGACTCCAAATTGATGTGTTCAACCCCGCCTGGTCATCTCCTACACATGTCCTCTATTGTCCTTACCCTTTCCCCTCTTATACTCTTGGTAGCTATTAGCTCTCTTTGGTTAAGCCCTTTCTCCTTTGCAAGTGCTTCCTTGCCATCTGCTCCTTCCCAATAATCATGCCTCAGTTCTTCATCAATCTTTAGAACTGAAATAATTCCAGCCAGGGGCCGTGTAGAATATCAGGGGGAGGGGGGTGTCATCAGAGCAGAGTTGGAACAGCAGGAGGTGGTGAGTGACAAATGTTGCACCACCAATCAACCTGCCAATCTCCTAGGCCAGGGTAGACAGTTTGTAGTCTTAAAGCTTCATGGTCTACTTCAGTGTTGTTCAACCTCAGCAACTTTAAGTTGGCTGAGGAATTCTGGGAACTGAAATCCACACAGCTTAAAGTTGCTGAGGTTGAGCAACACTGGTCTGCTTTAATTAGCTTAAGTTCAAAATCTCCCTTCAAGAGATTAAGCTGAGATTTTCGATAAGAGGTATCTATTATGTTCTTATGATTCTCCGAGGTTGACTGTTTTCATGCAGACATATTGTATGAGTATAGCTAGCATCGTCAATATACTGAGGGAGATGGCCAGTTTCTAAATGTGATAAATAAACATCGTTCAAGCCTGAAGTACACATATTCTCTTCCATGAGAGATATCTATCCCTAGGGCTGCAGTAGCTCAGTAGCTTAAAGATGCTGGATTTGCGAACCAGAAAAGTTTGGCTCTTTGTACTCCAGCAGTTCAAGCCCTAGCATCATGTGATGGAATGAGCTCCTGTCACTCGCCTCAGCTTCTGCCAACCTAGCACTTCGAAAGCATGCAAGATGCAAACAGATAAATAAATACCACAAGTACCACTCCTGTGGGAAGTTAATGGCGTTTTGTGCGGCAGAAATAAACCAACCAGCCTGGTCTTGCCCAAATGCAAGGCAAAATCAGTGGAGAAAAAGATCCGGATGAGGCCAACATTAGCCACTCAGTGTGTGGAGCTAGTTTGCTCCCTGCAGTGCACCCTGGATAATGAACTAAACAAACTAGCAATCTTAGGCAGCCAAACTACTCTGTAATAACATTGTAGACTCCCTGGCTCTCAATGTACAAGCACGCTAAATAAAGAAATACCCCTAAGTTTACTTCTTGGGAGAGAGAGGGACAGGCAAAGTTATCAGAAAAGAATGGAAATGTGAGGAATATAAGAAATTGTGTCTGAATGTCTAACTCTACTCAGTCTGAGCTCTGACTCCACTTGCCTCTTGCTTTAGTTCCCCCCATCATGTGTTCAAATAACCTTGAATGAAAGTAGAAAAAAGATTGTCCAGAACTTCCTATACCGATCAGTAAACAAGTAGTATGTTTACATCCAACACACTTTCCATTAAAAGCCGCGATAAATCCTAAAGCAGCATGGAAAAAAAAATAAAGTTCACATGCACATCTATCATTTGCCATGATCAATTGGCCATGCTCTCTCCAACAGATCTGGCTTTTTATTTGCATTATGCTTTAAATCCCCTTCTTCCCAGAAAAATCCCGTTATTCTGCGCCATTATACTTACCAGGCTCGATTTCCCTTTTGTACAATTGTGTAAACCACACATGTTTACCTTTTCTTGATAGATTTCCAGATAGGACATAGAGACAGAGTATTTGCATTTATCTTCTGAAGCATCCCTTGTCATCTGCAAGACATCTCGAACAGCTCGAGGGATCACACCTGGGTGATCTGGATTTCCCAACATGGTGTATGTCTTGCCTATGATTTGGCAGGAGACAAGATGAGAACGGTATAGCATCATCATATCGATTTAGCCCAGTTCTTTCCCCCAGATGACCCCAACCCCTCTGGGTTCATTTGGTTTCTTTGTAGCACTGCCTTATAGTCACCTGCTCCAGTTGGTCCATAAGCCAATATGCTGGCATTCTGCCCCTTCAACAGATGGTGCAAGACAGGCTTGACTGACCCCATGTAGACATCATGTTGGGTGGCTGCCTCACCATAAAACGCATCAAACCTGGTGAAGAGCGTATGGATGTGAAAGGAATGCAGGACAGAGGCTTACTGGTTTCTCTGAAATTTTTCTTTAGCAGTCTTGAGAAATGGAACAGCAAATCCAGATACAAAGTTTGTTTTAATATAAAAGTATATGACCTGTTTACAATTCCCACACTCCTTTGCAATTAGATATGCTTGCTGAAGCTTAGTGAAAGGCACCAAATTACCCGTCTTCATATATCCACCGATATCAAAATATCTCACAACCATGTATCTGTTCTTATGCGGCTCTTGGACTCCTTTCTCCTGAAGCTTTGAACCACAACAGACTGTTGGCATTTTACTATTTATATCCTGGCTTTATTATTTTTTAAAAAACAACTCAAGGCAGTGAGCATACTCCTTGAGTGTGGACGTCTTCCTTCTGTTTTCCCCACAACAATCCTGGGAGATGGGTTGAACTGAGAGAGAATGACCCAAAGTCACCCAACCTGGGTTGGTGGCCCAGGGCGGGTGGGTGGGAGGCACCAACAGGGCCGTGCACGCACTGTTAGAAGTAAGTCTTCATCCTGGTTCATCCAAGCCGGGAATAAATAAGCAAACATGGCGACTGCTTTGGGAAGAAGGTTACAGTTTATTGCAGAAGACAGATGGTCCTTGCAAGAAGCAGCAGAGGAGAAGAAAGAGAGCGAGCACATGGGCAGAAGGTCTTTTTATACCCTCTAGCCCTGCTTGGAATAGTTTCCTNTGTCTTGAGATCCCTGGCTCCAAACTTCCTGATGGTTCCACATCTGCATATGTATAAGACTAGCTACTGCTTTGGGCAAAGAGATGAGGCCAGGTTTGGTTTCTGCTTTTCAAAAAATGCTTTTAAAAATCCTTTTGGTGAACAATATCTTTCTTTCTGCCTTTTTAATATTTCCTTCTCTGGGCTAACTTCCCACAGCACGACGCAAATGGGGCCACAAGCGCCCATCTGATGCTCAGGCGATACTAGTGCCCACGCAATGCCGCAACGCTAGCGCTGGCATGCCACGATGCTAGCACAAGTGGGGGGGTGAGCTCACGGCAACGCTAGCGCCCGCCCAACACTCACGGCATTGCTAGCGCCTGTATGACACCATGACACTAGCATGAGGGGGGTGCAAGCACGCACACGCGCATGCACTGGCCAGCCACTCATGCGACCCAGTGGCCAACAGCTCATGGCCCAGTAATGGGCCGCGCACCACAGGTTGGTGACTCCTGTATTAGCTAATGCATATACTACAATATCCAATGGAGGACCAACAAAAGACAATGGCATCATTTTCTTTAAAGTGTTACATTCTCCTAGGTTTGGCTTACGGTCACTCACTCACAGCCCTGGAGAACTGTCACAATCAAATCACCTTCAACTCAATACTGAGGCACAACTGGTTCTTTAGAATACACAGAGACCCAATGCATTTAAAATAACAGCAAACCTTACTGATTATAATACATGTCCATTTCCTCTTTCATACATGCACACACACTCACTCATTCACACTTACGTCCTCAGCTAGGCTGGCAGGCACTAGCCAGAAGGGACGGAAGCCACCAAATCTGGGTCCAAAGATGATTCAAAGAGTGGGTGGACTTCAGGACCCCTTTTATCCCCCAAAGTCCTTGCTTTGTTATGGGTAGCTGTTGATAGAACTTGGGGAGGGGTTTCCCATGTGCTCAGGCTGAACTTCTTTTGTCTGATTCGGGATACATTTTTTCCTTTGTTTCCATAACAACTTCGTTCCTTCTTAAGTACTTCCTCTGAGGGAGCTTTTCCTGACTTTTGTCCACCCTGCTTACTTACCATCATCATGTGTGGCAGCTTCAGCCTACCTTACAAAAGCCTAAACAGCTTCTAAAGTTTAAAACCTAAACTTCACTTCTGAAAACAACTGAAGATATTCTTATTTATCCTGACATTTATTGGATAAATATATCAAAACCAGACTGTCTTTTCACTCTCCTATTCTTTTTTCAGGAAAAAAAAACCCCACCAGTATTTAACTTATGTTTTATTATGATCATTTTGTTAGAAACGTGATTAAAATGTCTTGCCAGTCTTCCAGGACCCTCGGGACACTCATACACTAACAAAATTGGATTGGTAAGAAAAGAGTTTATTCTGCAGAAAATAGAAAAAGCAGTTTGCAAAGTGCGGTGAATCTCTGAGAGAAACTTCAACAGGAATTTCTAAAACAGAGATCACACACAAACATTCAAATTCACAGCATTATATACACTTCTATCGCGACGCCCCCTCCCCTCCCCTCCCCTCCCCTTCCCTTCAGTCCCATCTGAAAGGACTTCAGAGGGCACAATCTTGTGCGAGACGCCTAACCAGAATACATCACCCCTCCCCCTGATTACATCCGTTTCAAAACTTCCCCTGGCCACCCTTTTGTCTTGTTAAGTCCATCGTGTGAAAAGGGGAGAGCGGATACAGAAGCAATAAACAAAGCAAATGGAGGAAGCTCCCCCCCCACAACCGTTTTATTTTTAAACTTCTGTGTTGCTCACAATTTTAAGGCATCCCTCCCCCACAACTATCTTCGAAGAATCACAGAAATAAAATGCTATTGTTCATAGGCATTAACCTATTCAGAATTTAACATCAATACTGTAAGTAATGTTTTATTATAGTTTGATCAAAAAAACATGTCCTTTTGAAATAATTAATTGGAATTGTTCTTGAACTTACAACCATACATTTTCATAAAAGCAGACTATGGTATGGGAAGGGGTATCAAGGGTAATCAAGGGAAGGGAAACATGCATTTAGTAAAAATTGATGGGCGATCAATCTTGCATCAAGCTGCTTTTTGAACTTAAGGAACTGCCTTCATTTTGGATGCAAAAACCTCTCTGATGTTCGGGTCGGAGTCCTATTTTGCAAGGCTTTTGATGGGACTTGGATTTCTTTCTAAGTACTTAAAATGGGATTTACTTCCAAATATCAGTTTCAAAAAAAAAGTCTCATCCACACATTGCACTCACCCTTACCAAGTCCAAACCGCTTCAGCCCGTGCAAAGTCGGATCCCAATCTCCGTTTGTATTTGGCGCCCGCCCCGTAATAGGAAGCAGACCAATGGGAGAAAAGAAAGGAAACAATCGTTTGCCTCTGCGCGTGCGCATCGCTCTCTCAAGTGTGCCGAGCTCTAGAGCAGTGTGAAGGGGGGGGGGGGTAAACACAGAACGGAAATTTGCGCACGCGCCTTGGAACAAAAGGGCGTTTGGAGAAGATACGCGTGCCCAGTAAAACATGATGAATTCGGAACGGAAGTACTACGTAGGGCGTGGGAGGAATGTCACGTAAAATCGATCTTAACACGGTAACGCCTTCTATTTGACATTGAACTAATTTTTCAGATACTTATTTTTTTGTATCGCGATTAGAAACTTTAGAGAACGAGTCTCTCTTGTATTGGTGCATTATTTTTACCATACAAACGGTTCAAGAGCTGGAGCAGCGTCTTTTGCATTTTTGTTTATAATATATATTTTTAAACGTCCAGGCTTTTTTTGGTCACTCGTAATATGTTTTTACCTCTCATTTTGTAAAAAACATTTGAAATTTAAAAAATGGTTGTACAGAGGCTGGGCATAACCCGATAAAAAAAAAAGGATAGCGCATGCGCAATTCACCGCCAAATCGAGTCGCGCGCTCATGCCTTTTTCTAACGTTCAGAGGAGGCGGGACTGGATTCCTCGCCCCAAACTGCAATCGATTGTGCTGGGCTCGACTTTTGCAGTCTCGCTAGAGGGGAAGTGGGGGGAGGGAGAGCGCTAGCGAGCTCCGATGCGTGGATGGGCAGTGGAGTGGCCGAATCATTTGCTCGGGGCTTAGTGCCGCCCCTTGGAACTGGAGATGTAGTGCCTCTGAGCATATATAGAATGCTATTTCTGAAAAAGACAATGTGTGCCTTTAGGTTGGTGAAGCTCGCCGCTCTCTTATTGGCGTAAGTCTAAATCCGAGGCATCTGATTTTTGCAAAGCAGTTAAATACTTCGGTTCCGTGAGTATCTCACTTACAATCCCGCACTTGAACGCAGGATTGCAGCTCTAAGACTGCGCTTAACTCCTGTACCGAAATCCTTAACTTCGCTTTACTCATTCTCACAGTTAACATTTGGAGATTTGGGGTAGGTCTTCAGAAAATCATGGCTCCAGACAGAGTCTTCATCCCCCACGCCCCCGAAAGATATGAATATGGTCTAGTTTATGGCGTTGATGTGAAAACCTGATTAGTTTTGGCTACTGATTATTTGTTCACTTCCATTAAATTATAACTATCAGAAAATACAGGTAGTCCTCGACTTATGACCACAATTGAGCCCAAAATTTCTGTTGCCCCACTGATAGGATAATACTAGTACATGAGAACATAATTAATGCATATTTGTCCAGAATATCACTATCCCAAATCAAATAAGCTCTTTTTCATTCATATTTCCTGTACACTTTTCAAAATATTTTTAATTAGAATGTTACAGTTCAGGTAGTCCTTGACTTATGACCACAATTGAGCCCAAAAATTCTGTTTTGCCACAATTTACGACCTTTCTTGCCACAGTTAAGTGAATCACTGCAGTTGTTAAGTTAGTGACATGGTTGTTAAATGAATCCAGCTTCCCGGTTAACTTCGCTTGTCAGAAGGTTGCAAAAGGGGATCATCTGATCCCGGGATACTGCAACTGTCATAAATATGAGTCAATTGCCAAGCATCTGAATTTTAATCACGTGACCATGAGGATGCTGCAATGGCCATAAGTATGAAAAACAATCATAAGTCACTTTTTTTAGTGCTGTTGTAACTTTGAATGGTCACCAAATGAACTGTTGTAAGTCGAGGACTACCTGTATTTGTACAGAGTTTTTAACGGGCAACATTTTGTGTATATTTTCTAGCTATTGTTTATTAGATTTTTATCCTGTCTTTATTATTTTATAAGTAACTCAAGGTGGCGAACATACCTCCTTCCTCCTCTTATTTTCCCTACAACAACAAGCCTGGCTGTGTGTGTGATTGGCCCAAAGTCACTCAGCTGACTTTCTTGACTAAAGCAGGACTAGAACTCATGGTCTCCTGGTTTCTAGCCTTTAATCACTACACCAAACTGGCTGTATTGTTACAACAACTCTAGTGAATTGTTATATTAGTATTGCCCATAATTACAAATAAGAGACCTGAAGTAAAGAAAACTTGGTTTGAGACCCAGAGAACTCATGTTTCATCCATCAAATTCATATATCTATACTGCCTTCTTCAAACTTGGGCCAGGTAATTAATTTTGGAATAATCAGACTATGTATACTAATGTAAAGGCAATCCACCTAAACATAAAGTTATACTATATACACCTGTTTAGATTTCTGTAGGATTGTGATGTTTGTCTGCTGCCACTCTTTAGCAATTGAATGTCCAAGATTGTAATTTCATCTGTAATACTTTTAAATACTTTTTGTAATAGTATGTATATTCTTCTAAATTATTATAGGCTTTCATCATGACTTCCATCTCTGGAAAAATCATTGGAATCAAAACCATCTTTGTATACTGCTTTTAATTCCCCTGGTGAAATGGCCTTTTAAAAAACCTTCTTGCCCATTCTTGCAATATCTTGGAGGCCTAATAAAAGATATTATTAAAACCTAACCAGAGTAAGTATGTTTTGCATGAGAAGTTGCTTTTTTATATAGTTAATTCTAAAAGCTTATAGCAAAAGTCAGTATTCCAAATTACCTTGGCCCTTCCTTAAATCCATTTCTGACTTTTTAGATCAAAATCATATTTAGCTTTTTGCTGCTCATTTCAAAAATTTTAAGTTCTTAATCTTGTAATTAATTTGTTTGTTCAAAGCTGAAAATAAACCCATCCAGTGAAGACTTTTCAGATCCTGCTATTCCAATGGTCTCTCTAATATCTTCCAAATAGTTAGCAGGGAATTTCTGAAAGTCATTAGAACGTGAGATTTGCAAACTTAGTGTCCTTTAAAACAGGGCTTTTCAACCTTGTCACCCATTGTACCACTTTTAGGATGTGGCAACATCCGAGTACCACCAGTCGCCTAGCAAGGTGTCAAAAACTTGACCAAAAAAAAAAAAAGGAAAAAAGTGATAAAGTACAGGTAGTCCTCGACTTACAACAGTTCGCTTAGTGACTGTTCGAAGTTACAATGGCACTGAAAAAAGTGCCCCCCAAGCCACAGCCGAGCAAGACACCTGCCTGCCCGCCCGGCGGCGCTCTTCCTCCTGTCCGAGGTTTCCATTGTTGTGAGCATTTCTGTTGAGGATTGGCAGCGGGGGTGGGGTGGGGGGTGTTTGGTTTTTATTCCCCCCGTCTGCTGGGTGGTTGCAGCAGGTTTTGGTCACTTCACATGACCCTGGGACACTGTGACCGTCATAAATATGAAACAGTTGCCAAGCATCTGAATGTAAATCACAAGGCCCTGGAGATGCTGCAACATTCCAGCTGATTGGCACTTCTTCAGGGCTCAGCAGAAGTGCCAGGATCAGTGCCGAGCTCCAGCTGGAGCCTGGTGCTGATCCTGGCGCTTCCACTGAGCCCTGACAGTCCCAAAGAAGTGCTGATCCTGGCGCTTCCGCTGAGCCCTGACAGCCCTGCAGCTCCAGCCATCTCTCGCTCAGGCTTGTGCGGTGCTGCCACCAGTTCAGCTCATTCCCCTCCCCCGCTACCACTTTTCTAGGATGGTCGTGTAGCACCTGCCAGGTGCCAATGTACCACAGGTGGTACCCATACCACTGGTTGAAAAGCCCTGCTTTAAAAGGCTTCACCATGGTTGTGAACAAGATGGCTAATTCCTTTGTCTCCCACTACTCAAACCCATGGAAGATTGCTGTCCCGTGGTCTCCTCATGAAGAGCAATTGTCCGGAGCATATGTGGGTGATCCTTTTCTTATCCAGAGAAGTTCCAAGGAACCCGTCTACTCACTGGTTCCTTGGGCTTTGCCATGGTCATTGGTGCTCCTTTCACAGAGCTGTCTTCAGTTCATCATACGTCTCCTAGAAGCCCTTTTCTTTTGCTGTTTTGATAGATGATTTGTTAGTGGCATAAATCTATTAGGGGTCAGTAGATGATAAAAATTCTGTTTATTGTGAACTGGAACTTTTGTGTCCAAAATACCATCTAATCAGAAGATGTTTTTTCAATGGTAGGTATGTTGAGAATCATAGAAGTTCATACTCTCCAAATAATTGTGAAAGGATAAGTTGAATTCCACTGGGTTGACAAAAGCTTCCTTAGGGTTTGCCTCTAGCTATTTTAATATGGTTTCAAATAATCAGCCTTGGAATTTGTATTACATCTTTTCTTTGGGGAATTCAGTATGTTTTTCCCTGGGTGACCCGATCTTTTCTAGCAACCTTGTGAACTAGATTGGTTGAATTACAGGGAGAGATCCCAGCTTGATTTGTGTCTCAACAGGATATTTTGAACCCAGGGGCAGCTCAGTGGTTAAGACACTGGGCTTGTCGGCTGGAAAGCCGGCAGTCCAGGTTGGAGAGCCACATACCACACAACGGGATGAGTTCCCATCCTCGCCCCAGTTCCTGCCAACCTAGCAGTTCGAAAGCATGCAAATGCGAGTAGATAAATAAGTACCACTTCAGTGGAAAGGTAACAGTGCTCCGTGATGTCATGCTGGTCACATGACCACGGAAATGTCTTCTGACAGTGCTGGCTCAATGGCCTTGAAATGGAGATAAGCAATGCCCCTTATAGTCAGCAACGAGTAGTGGAGTAAAATCCGCAGGGACTCTTTACCTTACTTTTCAATAACCCAACATTTTGTGCCTTTCTTCATTTGGGGATAAACACTAGAATAGCTACAGCGTTTTATTTGCTAATGTTTAGGCAGTTATCTTCTCGCGGGGAAAAAAAATCTTGCAAAGTTGGAATTGATTGATTGAACTTTTTAGTCCCACCCAGTCTGCCGTTACCACCGCAGCCACGCCCAGCCAATGGACCACGCCCACCCGGCACCCGATGATACATAAGTGGATTTTGGGTTGCGGTTTGGGCACTCGGTCTCTAAAAGGTTCGCCATCACTGTCTTCGAATCTTGAGACCTCAAGAGTTCATCGTATCTGTGCTTATCCTGTGGCCTCATCTTCTCTTTATTACAGCCATGGAAGAGGCCAGCACTGTGGAGGAAGGGGAAGTGACCTCAGGGATGCAATCCTTGGCAGTGGAAGATGGGCCTGCTTCAGATTTAGCTTCTGCCACTGAGGAACAAGATGCTGCCGCCAGAGAAACAGAGAGGGAATTATCAGGGAAGGGTGATGAATCTGCTGAAGAGGACTGGTGTGTCCCCTGCAGTGATGAGGAGCTGGATTCTCCAGATAACTGGATGCCTGAACCCAAGGAGATCCGCCATTTATATGAGCTCATTGCTGAACGCGGGACTCTGGAGATTCAGGCCGAAATCCTCCCTCGGCGCAACCTAACCCCAGAGCCTGACAGTGAAGATGAGGATAAGTCTGAAGGACAATCTGAACACCAGGAAGAAGAGGAAGAGGAGAAGTGAGAAATGGGTTTTTGTATTTGGCTTAAAGGGGGGGGGAGGAATCTAAGATTTGAGGTTATGTTAAGGGGAGGAACGATAGGCTGAGATATTGCCAGGTTGATTCCTTTTTCTCTGTTTGCTCCAGGCTTCATGTGCCTACTGAGTTCGACTTTGACGATGAGCCTGCCTCTCCCAAAAGCTCCTTGATTGATCGACGGAGAACTCCTGGTACGTAAGGAAGGCAATTGAGTTTCCATAAGAAGACAGAAGAGCATTGGCAGGCCAGTGAATTATGGAATACAGCATTCTGCCCCCAAGCTGGCCCACCACTTGCTTATGGGAAGCCAACGAGCTGGGTGTGGGTGCAGTAGGACCTTCCCTCTTGTGTCACCTATTGCAAATAGCAATAGTACTTAGACTTATATACCGCTTTATAGCCCTCTCTAAGCGATTTACAGAATCAGCCTATTGCCCCCAACAATCTGGGTCCTCGTATTATCGACCTCAGAAGGATGGAAGACTGCGTCAACCTTGAGCCAGTCAGGATCAAACTGCTGGCAGTCAGCAGAGTTAGCCTGCAGTGCTGCGTTCTAACCACTGCGCCATCATATTCAGATCATCATATCATATTCAAATATAAACCATTTGTTTAGCAAATGGGAGAGGAGCAGTTGTTGAGGACCAATTTCACTTGCCATACACAGATAGTCCTTACAACCATTCTTTTAGCAACCATTTGAAGTTACAACAGCACTGAAAAAAGTGACTCATGATTGGTCGTGTTCGGCCATGATTACTAGCGGCTGTGGACAGTATAATCATTCTCCATGACTTGATGTCTGGTCCTTTTATAATGCAAAGTTGATAGTCATCCCTCCTCCGATGGTAAGTTGATTGAAGAACTACATCCTCTTGGCTGTCCTGAATCTCCCACCATTTATTAGATGACTCCAACTTCTAGTTTATGCAAGAGAGAAAAGGGAAAAGCTCTTCCTACCTTGCATAATTTTACCCATTTAATCATTTTTATTGAAGTTGAAAACTCCAAAGAAGGCCAGTTTGGTGAGTGGTTAAGGCACTAGGATAGAAACTGGAAGACCAGGAGTTTTAGGCCCACCCTGGGTACCTAGCCAGCTGGATAACCTTGGGCCAGTCCCACTCTATTGGCCCTAGGAAGGAAGCAATGGCAAACCACTTCTAAAAAACCTTGCCAAGAAAATGTCTATGGAGATTGTCAGTCATCCAGGTCATGGTTGTCCCAAAGCTGCTTTTTCATGAGGCAACTGGACTTTCTTGTTTTTCTTTGAAGACATTTCACTTCTCATCCAAGAAGCTTCTTCAGCTCTGACTGAAGAATTCAGCCTCACCATCCAGTCAGAGCTAAAGAAGCCTCTTGGATGAGAAGCTAAATGTCTCTAAAGAAAAACAAAGTCCCAAGCACCAGGGATCAATACTGACTCAGTACATTGTGTGTTTGTGTGTGTGTGTATAATGGTTATATTTTCAGAGTCTGTGATGTCCTTCATCCACCTGTCCCACTAGGGTTTATTAAAAATAGTAGATTTTTAGAAAGAAGATCCTAGACAGACAAATGGTTTAAATCAGAGTTCACTGAACAAATGGTTGTAAGTTGAGGACTGTCTATATAAAAATGTATTGAGATAATTTATTGATAGGTAGCAAAGATGTCAATTTCTTAACCCAACAAATAAATGCTGTTGCTAGGCAGTTTTCTCCCACCTGCTTCCTCGTGATTTTTAATTATTTTGCAATTCTCTGCAAGAACAGCAAGAAGTGCATTATATTTTTACCTCGCTGGCCTATTAAGCTAGTATGATGTATGAACTTCATCTTCCATTCATGATTTGTGATTAATTTCCAGGGACTAAGAGTCAGAAAAGAGAAGCCCGCCTGGACAAGGTGCTATCAGACATGAAGCGCCATAAAGTGCTGGAGGAGCAAATTAGGAAGACTGGCTGTGACCTCTTTGACCTTGATTCAGATGATGTACCCACTCCAAAACGACCCTCTGGTCTCTTCCTTCGTCAGCGCAAATACTAATGGTAATGAATAAGAGGAGCCGAGAGAGGAAGATGGAGTGGAACTATGGATTCAGATACAAGGGGAAGGAACTCCTGCATAAACTCGATGCCTCTGTTAGTACCCTGGAATTTGACCCTGATCCCATCTGGGTTGCTGGAGGTACTTGCTTTCAAGTTTTGGGGTGTAATAAAACTGTGAGTTTGCTTTTAATTTAATTTCTGTGAACTATTCTTACACTAATGGAAAGAATTGCCAGTCAGGAGGAGAGGATTTGTTGAGGACTTACAGTTTCACTTGCCATATAAGATACTCCTCACAACCGTTCATTTAGCAACCATTCAAAGTTACAACAGCAGTGAAAAAACTGATGGCTGGTCCTTGCAGTTACAACCGTCCCCAAGTTCATAGGATTAAAATTCAGCCGCTTGGCAACCAGCAAGTGTTTATGATATTTGCAGTGTCCCAGGGTCACGTGATCCCTATTGGTGGCCTTCACAGCCATCTTCCAACAAGCAAAGTCAATGAGGGAAGCTGGATTCACTTAACAACCTCAGCAATTCACTTAACAACTGGCAAAAATGTTGTTCAATCAGGTGTAACTCACTTAACAACCGCCTTGCTTAGACACAGAAATTCTGTCCCAGTTTAGGTTACTTGTACCCCATTTTGTCTGCTCACCCTCAATCTTTCTGTGATTTCGGAGTTGATGAAGCCCTGGGGTGCCTTGTCACAAATGTCCTGTGATGTGAAAGGGCAGTGCAGCCGCTGGGACAATCCCTTGCCATTTCCGAACTTACAGGAGGCAAAAATAACAGTTCCTCCCTTCATGTGAATGAAAGGCATAAGAACCGTACCTAGAGTTGCCAAGGAATATGGCCTTGTTAATTAGAAATCTTTTTTTTTATTATTAAAAGTTTTATAACATTTACAAAATAAACCCCCTTCCCACCCCCCAAAACCCCCCACCCCCCACTTCCCAGAGCTGTTCACAGGGTTACAAATATATTAAATCATAATCTAAATAACATTATCCAACTAATTATGTAACCAAATCTATAACACACTTTAACTCCCTTTTAAAATAAATTTAGATAATTTAAAATTAAACACAATAATAAATAAATAATCAACTTAATTATTAAACAAAATTACTACTCAAAATAATAATAATATCAATATAATAAAATATAATAAAAACTATAAAAATATAATAAAATATTCACAATAACAATATTATAAAATTTACTCAAACACCAAATGGAACTTTTCAGTCCCATATTTATTCTGAATATAATCTATCCATCTTCTCCAAACCGAAATATATCTTTCCTGTGTTTGATCCTTTAAATAAGCAGAAATCTTAGCCATTTCTGCTAAATTTGCCACTTTAAGAGACCATTCTTCTACAGTAGGCAAACGATCCATCTTCCAGTTTTGAGCTACCAATAGTCTTGCAGCTGTTATAAGATTTAGCATCAGATTCATTTCTTTAGCATCCAAATCTCCCATAATACCTAATAGAAATAACTGCGGTGTGAACTTTATCTTTTTCTTAAAAATATTTTGAATATTCCACCAAACCTTAATCCAAAATGCTTTTATTTCCCTACACGTCCACCAAATATGAAAATAAGTTGCATCTAAACTTCCACATCTCCAACATTTGGGCTGTAAATTAGAATACATGCATGACAATTTTTGAGGATCCAAATGCCACCTATAAAACATCTTGTAAAAATGTTCTCTTAAATTTTGGGCTTGAGTAAATTTTACATTTTTAACCCAAATTGTCTCCCATGTATCCAATGAAATCGATTCTTGAATATTTTGAGCCCATTTTATCATACAGTCTTTAACTAGTTCCGTTTCAGAATCCAATTCAATCAAAGCATTATAAATTCTCTTTATATGTGCTTGGGTTGGATCTTTAATCTGTTTAATCAAATTCACATCCTCCAAAGTAATACCAACCTTCTGATCTAAACTCCACCTCATTAACAATTGATTATAATAAAACCAGGAATATACAATATTTTCTTGTTTCAAATCCGCTAAGAATTTAATTTGCCAATCCTGTCCTGCCAAACTAAGTAATTCCCTATAGGTAATATTATCCAAATTAACCCCTCTAAATACCCCCTCTATCACCTGTCCTGGAATCGCCCAAATGGGAATTTTATAATTTAATCTATAATAATATTTCTTCCAAACTCGTAATAAAGCACTTCTTAAAATGTGAGCTTTGAAAACTTGATCTACTTTTTTATAAATCAAATAAGCGTGCCAACCAAATAATAAATCCCATCCCTCAAGTATAAGTATATTTCTATTTGTTAAATTAAGCCAGTCACTAATCAATGTTAAAGCCACCGCATCATAATATAATTTTAAATTCAGCACCTTAAGTCCTCCTCTTTCCCGTGCATCTTGCATGATCTTAAACTTAACTCTTGGCTTTTTGCCCGCCCATATGAACTTA